GGTTGATAATTTGTCTTTTTATTCCATTTTTCTAGTAATTCATTTTGAATGCATTTTTAAAATATCATGACATGTTGGAGGGAGGGAAAACTGATTCTCCATCATAGAAAGTCTGAGAATCATTGCTTTATATTTTATCTCCATTTTCAGCATATGGGGAAGGAGGCAGCATAAAAGTTTGTTTTTGTTTTTATTTTTTCATCTGATTTGTTTATGTGCATACATAATCTAAATACATGAGAAAGTTATTTTGATACATGCTATGTCATATGTTTAAACATTATTTATAAAAACTAATTTTTTAGAGCAACAAAATGGTGGATTGGGAAACTCCAATCCCCTCCACAAAAATATTTTTAAAAAAAAAACCCAAAAGGAGGTTTCAAGATGGCGGTGGCTGGTTGGTTGACCGAGAGGCTGACTGAAAGGCCCTAGAAAGTAAAAGAGGCTGGGAGTTGCCCCCTCCCTGCTTCTCACAGCTCTGGGAGCCCAGCAGAAGTGGTTTTTTTTTCTCTTAATGAACAAGTAAACCACACAGATTGTCAACATGGGACGGAGATCTACATCATCCACCAAGAGTGGAAAATTCATGAACCCTACAGACCAAGCTCGAAAGGAAGCCCGGAAAAGAGAATTAAAGATGAACAAAAAACAGCACATGATGGTACGAGCTGCAGTTTTGAAGATGAAGGATCCCAAACAGATTATTCAGGACATGGAGAAATCGGATGAAATGGAATTTAACCCAGTGCAACAGCCACAGTTAAATGAGAAAGTACTGAAAGACAAGCGTAAAAAGCTGTGTGAAACCTTTGAACGTATTCTACGACTTTATGAAAAAGAGAATCTGGATATTTACAAAGAACTGGGAAAGCTAGAAGTAGAATATGAACAGAAGAGGGCTCAACTTAGCCAGTATTTTGATGCTGTCAAGAATGCTCAGCATGTGGAAGTGGAGAGTATTCCTTTGCCAGATATGCCACATGGTCCTTCCAACATTTTGATCCAGGACATTCCACTTCCTGGTGCCCAACCACCCTCCATCCTTAAGAAAACCTCAGCCTATGGACCTCTAACTCGGGCAGTTTCTATCCTTCCTCTTCTTGGACATGGTGTTCCACGTTTGCCTCCAGGCAGAAAACCACCTGGCCCTCCCCCTGGTCCACCTCCTCCTCAAGTTTTGCAGATGTATGGCCATAAAGTGGGCTATGCCCTAGATCTTCCTTCTCGTAGGTGAGATGAAGACATGTTATATAGTCCTGAACTTGCTCAGCGGGGTCATGATGATGATGTTTCCAGCACCAGTGAAGATGACGGCTATCCTGAGGACATGGATCAAGATAAGCATGATGACAGTACTGACGACAGTGACACTGACAGATCAGATGGAGAAAGTGAAGGGGATGAATTTGTACACCGTGATGATAATGAAAGAGACAACAATGAAGAAAAAAGTCAGGTCTAAGTGTATGATTTGCAGATATGTCTGGAAAATCAAGGAAGAAAAAGAACATAAAGGAGCTGACTCCTCTTCAAGCGATGATGCTTCGCATGGCAGGTCAGGAAATCCCTGAGGAGGGACGGGAAGTAGAGGAATTTTCAGAGGACGATGATGAAGATGATTCTGATGACTCTGAAGCAGAAAAGCAAGCACAAAAACAGCATAAAGAGGAAGCTCATTCTGATAGCACATCTACTGCTTCACAGCAGCAGGCTCCCCCACAGTCTGTTCCTCCCTCTCAGATACAAGCACCTCCCATGCCAGGACCACCTCCTCTTGGACCACCACCTGCTCCACCTTTACGGCCTCCTGGACCCCCTACAGGCCTTCCTCCTGGACCACCTCCAGGAGCTCCTCCATTCTTGAGACCACCTGGAATGCCAGGACTCCGAGGGCCTTTACCCCGACTTTTACCTCCGGCACCACCACCAGGCCGACCCCCTGGCCCTCCCCCAGGTCCACCTCCAGGTCTGCCTCCTGGCCCTCCTCCTTGGGGACCTACACCAAGGCTACCTCCCCCTGCACCTCCAGGTATCCCTCCACCCCATCCCGGCATGATGTGCCCACCTTTGGTGCCTCCACTTGGACCTGCCCCCCCTGGGCTTTTCCCACCAGCTCCCTTGCCAAACCCTGGGGTTTTAAGTGCCCCGCCCAACTTGATTCAGCGACCCAAGGCAGATGATACAAGTGCAGCCACCATTGAGAAGAAAGCCACAGCAACCATCAGTGCCAAGCCACAGATCACTAATCTCAAGGCAGAGATTACTCGATTTGTGCCCACTGCACTGAGGGTACGTCGGGAGAATAAAGGGGCTACCACTGCTCCCCAAAGTCAGAGGATGATTCTGCTGCCAAAGCAGCCCCCAAATATGGTCCTTCTGTTCCTGTCTCAGTACAAACTAAGGATGATGTGTATGAAGCTTTCATGAAAGAGATGGAAGGGCTACTGTGACAGATTTTGATGCCAGAACA